TACTCTAGATCCAACACAATAGTTTTTAAAAGCTTTCTATAAATAAAATAGAACCAAATCTTTTTATGGTAAGGAAACATAAGAGAACCAGATCTTGGTCCCGCATGTGGCTGCTGGGTTTGCTCGACCCGAGGATTCAGGCGGCCTCGTCTAGCTATGATAGAAAATGTAACAAGTACTATCATTTACCTATATTGCAATATCTCTCCTTGGTTAACTTAAATCGTTGACGTATTTGTCAAATTATTGTATGATTGATACACTCGTTCATCTCATATAGTAGGAAGACAATTGAATATGAAGTTCCCTAAACCATCCAAGAGAGAGCCATCATGCACCTTATCTTTACTTTTGGTGTCGATCGGTATATTTTTTGGAATTTTATGGTATTTAAAATTTTATTATTGCGAAAAGATATATTATTATTACAGGAAAAAAATTCATGATTTGGAGGCCATGCACGTTGCGTCTCACTTGCTTTCTTTGTCTATATTGTACATTACAACAAATAAAATGTTAAAACGGTAGTGAAAGCAGCTAACCAAACACCTATATTTAATTTCAATTCACATCAATATGATATACAGAGTAAGTAATACCATTAGACAAAAAAAAACATATATATATGCAGCTATCTAATATATAATTATGAGCCAAAGGCTGTCATTATAATATTTCGATTTTATTGAAACTTTTTTCTTTAATCTAAAATGTCCCCCAACATAAAATTATATTATTAGGGAGTTGTTATGAATTTGGAAACCGTTTTTAATTATTAAAAGTACTCTACTACCGATCTAAGATTTACTTAAACTTTTTGATTTCATGTGATTTTATTCAAAGACACATGATTATTTGTCTTCTTTTTGCGTGTATACTAATTATATGTATAACTTTTATGCAGTGGGAAACAAAATAAAACATAAATGTTTTGGAATCCTATGCATATAGGCAACAAATTTGAAGACTACGTGGATTTGCCAACAAAAACTTTCATTCTTATCGATTAGGTTTGTTTTCTTTGTTATCAATCTGTAACAGTGTTTTTTATATGTCTACGATTTACGTTCTCACTTCTCACTGTTTAGGGCTGGGCAAATTATCTGTTAAATTCGATCCGATTCGGTTTTCATTTCGATCTGATCCGAAAAATTTGGATTTCTATTTTAAATCAAATCGAAACAAATAGTAAAATTTAGTATCCGTCTAAACCGAAAAAAATAACAAATAACAAATACTAATTTTAAAAATATGAATATTCGATCCGTATATTACTAATATATACATATAATATAGTAGATTTATAATGTATACTTACATTTTTTTAGTTTTAAATATATTTGGCGAATATATTTATAGTAAAAATAGATAGATACTAACTTTATTTGAAATATATTTCTTAAATAAAAATATATATTTCATTTTTTACCGTTTTAATATTTCACTTTTCATTTTTTAAACAATTTATCGAATAAAATTAGATTCATTTCATATGTTTATTGATTAATTAATTTAAATCTTATATCAAAACTTTTTTTGAAAAAAAATATTATAGTGTTTTAATTTTTGTTTTTGTTTAAAACAGATATCCGCGAAGATTCGGATATGTGCAAATATTCAGAAAAAATTCGGATATCCATTATTCGGGATATCCAAAAAATTTCGAAGCAAAGCAAATCGAAAAATTAATTTTCCGTCAAAAACAAATCGAATCACAAATACTACATTTTTCCGAATATCCGATCCGCGCCCAGACTATCACTGCTTACAAAAGTTGTAAATGTCTTATGCCTTGAAAGTAAGTGAGAATCTTTCCTCTAACTCAGTTTGTAGAAATTCAGATAGTATGAATATAAATGATCTCATTTTTGTCTAGTAGTATCCTCTATATATTAATAGAGAAGACACTAGATAAAAATTTTAGGTGTCATCCTAAGAGAATTTTAATGAATTCATTTTCTAATAAAATTTTTTAATAACAAATATATGGAAATAACGAATATGTGGTAATTAATATAGAGAATTTTATTTAAGAAATATATAAAATATTTGAAAATATTTTCTTTTCAATAATACTAGACTTTTTTATATGAGTCAAAAGCGTTATTAAAATATTCAAAAACAAAAATTCATGATTATTTTTAATAGATGGAGAAATAAAAAATAATAAAAATAAAACATGTTTATGTTTGATCAAAATTTAGCTTTATTATATGTATGTACAATAAATATCATTTTGTGTGTTTATAAATGTTAGAATACACGTCTAGATATTAAATTCAATTAAAAACATATTTAATTATTTAATTTCATATTTAGCGTGGGTCAAAATCTAGTATAACTATTAATCGATTAGCGTGGGTCAAAATCTAGTATAACTATTAATCGATTAACCAAGTGTACTATCTAGATCTAGGAGTCTCTAATCTGGATTTTTGTCCTATTTTGGTTCACGCATTTTTCCATTATGGGAAATATGGTGATACCAATTAAAAAAATATATATACTACGAATCGAAAAACTATGATTTCACTGTAGCTAGATTCAAGTTTTGTTATATTCTTCTTTTATTACAATGCATGCATCATATACTTGTAGGATCGGTACCCAATTCATTTTCGGTTTATAATCAAACTAAACCGGATTATATATGGTTTTAATTTGCTTTTAGACGGTTCGGTTTGGCCAAATGAAACAACCGCATAATACTGGACCACCGAAATTTCAACATCGAGTATAATTGATGGATTCTAAATGCTACATTGCTAAAGATTGTTGATTGTGATTGAATGGTTTCGTAGCCTCACAAAAACATCGGCTTATCCTAATTCCCATACATCTCTCTGTGACTCTGTCCAAGTTTGCCTCTGTACCTAAATCAAACCCCAAAAACGTGTCAATGTCTATATAGACCCC